AGTGTTGAGCCTCGTTCAGTGTTTGCCCTTTGGAACTGCTGCAGTTGCCCCTTTTAGGGGAGTTGGTGGCACAGACAGGACCTGGGTACCTTGGGGTCAGACACCAGTGAGCTGGCTGGGCACATCACCTGGCTGGGGTGGGGTTTTGAGCTCTTTGTTGAGCTGTTAGCTCTGCTCTGATGGTATCACTGTAGTGTGTGATGGTTTGTTTGTCTGGACCTTCAGTGTTCATTATCTTGTCCTTTACACCCCAGTGTGGTCCCCAAAAGCTGGTTCTCCCTCCCTAGTGCTGGAAGTGTGAGTGTCTACCCCCTGTCCACAATTTGGCCTCTCTGTTCTGTTTTGGCACCCAGCTTGAAGCGTTTGCACCCCTCCAGCAATCCTGCAGGCTCTGGTGTCCACCTTGATTTCCTTTGGTGTCTGTCCTGCAGTTGTTGTCTGGGACACCTGAGCACAGGAGAGCTGAGCTGAGAGGTGTGGACATCCCTGGGCTGGAAAGAAGCATCCGTGGGGTGATGAAAGCTGTGACCTGCTCATGTGTTTTAATAGGCAGGTCAAATATTGACTGCTCCTGTGCTGAGCCCATGGTGGTTACAGGCATCTTCCCTGGACTCTGGTGATTCCCCTTCCCACCCTTTTCTTTATGGATGATCTTTGTTCAGCCTGGAGTGTTAATTTTCTTCCTTGGCATAAATCATCTTTGATGATTTCTGGGTTGGTGTGTGAGCCCCATGCTGTACATAAATGAATGAGTGACACGAGGAATATCTACAAATGTAGTTATGTTGTATGTAATGTACATAAGGAGAGAATGTATTTTGTTCATTTTTTTTCTTAATAAAAATGTATATGCTAGCAAGGGTGTTGATTTAAGATCCGTTTGTTCTCACATCCCTTCAGAGAGTGGAAGAATGCCTGTGAAGGTCTTTTAGGGGTGGAGAAATTGTGAAACTGGTGGTGCATTATGTCTGACCCTGCTGCCTGACATCACTGATGAGCTCAGTCAGTATCTCATAAATCCAGCATATTCCCAACATTCACAGGAACTTTTCTGGGGGAGGTGGGGGGGGGAGAGGACACAAAGTTAAAACACAGGCTGTGGCAAACAGCTGATTTTTAATATCTGACTTCAACCAAATCCCCTTTTTTCCCCTTTATATAAGCAGGAACTTAACCTGGAACAAAATGTTTTATTTTGGGCGCTTGAAGGCCAGAGGAGCTGCTGCTGCCCCTGTGCTGCCCTGGGGTGATGCCTCTCATGCTTTATGGTGTGAGGTTTGATTCCCTCCTCCACAGCCTGACCTGAGTGCGAGGAGGGGCTGCAGACCACAGGGAGTTAGGATGGAATGCAGAAAAAAGGGTGAGTTGCCTTTTTCCTCTGACAGCCCAAAGGCACCAAGAGCTAAAAAAAGTGCTCAGGCTGTGGTGGGGGTGCTCTCACATCACCCCAGCTTCCCACCCCTCGGAGTCCTCTGGTTTTTAAATTTAATAGGTTTTCCACCACTATAATACTTCCTTCTGCATAGGAAAAATACAGGCTCTTCCATGGCTGGCTCCCATGAAGGTCTGGGTTGGTTTTGTTCCAGCTGATTTCCCATGGAGCATCTCCAGAGCAGGAAGTTGTGGCCCTGGAACTTGTCCTCTGCCCTGCCCACCCCCTCCTCACTCAGCCAAAGACACGAATCTTTTACATAAGAATGTTTATTGACAGAAATACATGATGCTCTCAAAATATATTTGTAGGAAAATGCAAGAATAATCTCTTACAATCCAGTTCCTCAGTAAATTCCAGTGTAAATCAGACTCCTGTCCCCATGAGAGATGCTGCTACACACAGTATGTAAGAGCTCTACTCTATGTGCAAGGTTCAACAGGTAACCACCTGGGGAATTAGGTTTTCCTTCTCCAGTCCCTCATGGATTATAACTTCTGTGTGTCTTCTGTAGGCAGCAGTCACAGTATCAACCTCATCAGCTGGGTCACGGCACTGTGAGCGGGAGATAAAATGTTCCTAAAGTATTTACACGTTTCCTCGTGAATCTGAAAATAGAAAAGTCTCTTGCAAGGACATTGAGCTGCTTGTAAAGCTCTCGCTGAAAGGTAAGAGCAGGAATCTCTTTGTACAAGGTGTGGGATGTTAAAGCTGTTTTTGGGGGAGACGAGTGCAGGGAAGGGAGGAGGGGCAAGGAGGAAGGAAATGCCTCGGTAAATCTTTTTTTTTAAATTTATTTATTATTTTTGGTCTAACAATTATGGCTACAGTCTATGAAGGGAAGGGTTAAGGCCAAAGATGCTCGTTGCTGCATTTCCTACCTGATTTTTTTTTTTCCAAAAAAAGAATGTTCTCAACATTAAAAAAAAAAAGTACTGTTTTCTTTTCCTGTGGAAATAGTTCTTTTAAATAGGGGAAGGAAAATCTACTATAAAATATTAGTGGTTTAAAAATACGGTGTCTGGAAAAATAAATAAATGTACAATTCCTATTCAAATATAAATCACTATAAGCACTTGCTGAGCAGTTAATATCCTCACTGGTCTCTGCTCGGAAAGATTTAAGGTTACTTGATCTCAAGCCTCTGTAGGGTTCTCTTGGAAAGTCTTTGGACCTGACTCATTAAAGCACTTTGGCATCTCTTTGCTGGGAAGGGGGAATCTTTAGGCACATGCCAAAGCCCAATGCCTGGAGATGCCCTGCCAGGAGTGTCCTTGTGGCAGCTCCAGCCCTGGTGGCCACAGCATCGCTGCTGCCCTGGTTTCACTGTGTTTGTTTTCTGGGAAGGACAGAAATGTGAGCTCATGGGCCTGCTGCTTGTCTGTCAGGGCAGCTGGGAGGCCACACTGCTCACAAGAGCAATTCTGGATGCCAAGGCCCATTCTCTGAGACTCGTGGCCACATTAAAGAGCTGAACTTGATGATGCCAGAACAGGGACAAAGCCGTGGCACAAAGTTACCTGGGCAAGAGGTGTTTTTCTGCTTCATGTCAAATTTTAATCCCCTACCAGGCTGGCCTTTAGCTTTTTCTTTCTCTTTTTTTTTTTTTTTTCCTTTTAAATTTTTTTTTCTTTTTAAGATTTTAAGTTTTTTTTTTTAATTTATTTTATTTGTTATTTCCCCTCCCCTCCAGAATTACTTCCCCATAGTGCAGTGCACAGGTAAGTGAAGTGTGCAGAATACATTGCTAATGAATAGCAGGAATATTTACATACAAAAATATAAAGGTTTGAACACTTCAGACTCTGCCCTTCAGTGCAGGACAGAAGGAGGAAGAGCCACTTGTATCTTCTGCCAGCACCTGTCCTGGGGCTGAGTGAAACACCCTGATCCCCTCCTTCCTGAGTACTCCCAACTCCACCAGGGTTTCTCCAAGCTTCCCATTGCTTGGCTCTGCTTTTCCCCTCATTCAGGGCAGCCGTGGGAGCAGATCCCAGTCGGGTTGACTTGGTGGCAGAGCCCAAAGGAATTGTCCCCATTGTGCCTTGGTTTATGGCAAGCAGAGGAGAGGGGCTGAGTTTGGGCACTGCTCTTATCTGCAGCTCCTCTGGCTGGCAGAGGGTTTGGGACAAGCTCCATCCTCACGGGATGGGGTCTCAGCCAAGTGACCTTCTGGTCCTCGTGTGCTGGAGGATGGACCCCAGCTGGAGGATGATCCCTGCCTCTGCCAGGACTGAGCTGCTTCACCAGAGCAAAGGCATGAAACTCTCCTCAAGCTTTTAGAGCCATTTAGGAGCTGTGGTTGGGAGCCAAAATCCAGAAATGGCCTCAGTCCAGCCATCCTTTTCTTCTCCCCTTGAAAGGCTTCAGCAAAGGGACACCTGGGTGACAGACCAAGGGCTGCAGGACAAAGCTCAGTCCCAGCTTTGCTGCTGAGCTGGAAGTTGCTTTGCAGGTCTCTGTTATTTTAGTGGCTTGTGAAGAAGAGCTTGAGAGCGTGGGCTGAACTTTTAAACCCCGAGGGGATGAAACACGAAGGGACACTTGAATGCCATCAAGCTCCCTGGCTCACATTCTGCTGCTCTTTTACCTCTTCTGCTGCTCACGCCAGAAAATGTGCCCTCGAAAATCACAAACCATCGTGCTGCATGTGTCCCACAGTCTTGTGGAGGATGGCTGAGGGCTGTGAGATGCTGCTGTGTAATTCCTGGAAGGCAAGTGATCCTTCTGTAGGGAAATGCAGCACCAGAGCTGGGCTCCTGCACCACAAAACCCCCAACATCACACCTGGGATAGAGACCAGGTATCGCTCTTCTTCTCCACACCCTTCGTAAGAGGGATAAACCCAAGGAATTCCTCCTTTTCCTCTCCCTCCACCTAATCCTTTCAAAACAAGAAGCTGCTGCACCTCTCTCGGTCTCCAAGTGGGTGCAGGATCTGTTCCACAGCCCTTGGCAGCAGGGCTGAGCATCACTTGGCACTGCTGCATCCCTGCCATCCTGCTGGGATGCATCCATTTGCCTGTGGCACAACGAGGGGCTCTTGTGCGTTTCAGCTCTGAGGAGAGGATGGAAACTGGATTAAAAAGAAACAGGCTGCTCCAGCTTTTTTCATTCACTACCTGGGTGTCAGAGAGGACAGGGTGATGACTAAACAGCGTGGGCCAGAGGATTTGTTTAGCTGTAATTGCCAAATGCTGCTTTGCTGTCAGATGTGCTCCATCTCCCATCCTATTTACTTTTATTTCTCTTGATTTTTGAGTCACTTGGTAGCTGGAGGGTGCAGCTGACGTGGTCGGATCTGGAGAGGGGACGTGCTTGGAGGAGACACCAGCAGCTCTTCGGGAGCAAAGCCACCCTGTTTGCCCATGGCTGGTCATGTCTGGCGTGGGAGGTGGATGGGGGATGGAGGATGCTTGGCCAGATGTGGCTTGTGTTGATGTGCCCCAGAGGTGTCTTCTCATGTCCCTTCCTTTTCCATCCTGCACCTCATGTGGTGGCACAAGGGGCCACAATTAGTTCATTAAGGGATTTTCTGCTTTTTAGGGGAAATTTTGCCTCGTTTTGGAGCTCTGTGTGCATGTGTGTAGGGTTTATAGGGTTTTTTTGGGAGGTGGTTGTTTTTTTCTTGATCAAGTTCTGCATCCTATAAATGTGTGTCCTCTTCTTCCTCAAGGTCCTCCTTCATGAGGGTGTCCAGAGGAACGATCCAGCTGTCCCCCAGCTCACCGTTGAGGTTCACCTTCTTCTCCTGCATTTCTGAGGAGGTCTCCATCACCTCCAGCGTGGGGTTGTCGTGGTAGCCGTTCTCCATGGTCTGCATCTCCTCGGTCAGGCGCTGCTATGAGGAAAGAAAACCATAAACCCCACTGAACAACACCTTGGCCATGCTGTGAGTGTCACCTCAGGGCTGTCACCTCCCAGCCAGCAGTGACAGCTGTGCCATATGGATTTATATAAATACATACAGAGACTTTCATGGTGACGTTGAGGCAGGGGGCAGCGAGGGGATAGCATGGAGCTGGCAAGAGGAAGATTCTGCTGATGATGGGAAGGAGGATGGAGTAGCCAGAGACATGTGGAAAACCTCCAGGAGCAGCTGCCAGCTTCGATTTGTTCCACTCAGGACCTTGGGAAGAGGTTGAGCATCACTGCATCCCAACTTCTGCCTCCCTACCTCCTGCTCTTCCCCTCCTCTTTCTCTCCACCCCTGCCCTTTTTTAGTTGCTGTATTATTCTTCTCCTTTACTCAGGGGTAGCTCCCACCTGCCAGATTTTGAGCATTATCCCTTCTCATTCTGGAACTCTCAATGGAAACCAGGCAGGGAAAGATGGAATCAGAAACTTTATCACCCTGGTCCTTTGGTGTGATGTGCTTCAGGTTCCGCCTTGTCCCTTCATCCCTTTGGCAGAACCTCAGCCCATCCAAATTTTGCATCCACTTGGGCTCCTGCATCCCCATCCTTCCCTAGAGGGATTCAGTGGGGAACTGCAGTCCTTGTCAGCTCTTTTTGAGAAGCACAGGGCTCTCAGTGGGTCCTTCATCCCCATCCTTCCCTGGAAGGATTCAGTGGGGAACTGCAATCCTTGCTCAGCCCTTTTTGGGGAGCCCTGTTAAAATCTGCCTGGATTCACAGCTTGCTCTGTTACATTGCTCCTAGTTAATGTCAGGAGACAGGTGTGGGAGGGAATCCATGGAGAAGGAGAGGGATGGAGAAGCAAAACTGCATGGCTTGGCACTGGCAGAGGGGCTGCAAAGGCGCTGCTGGGAGTCCCCTGTGTCACTCGTGGCAGGGTGGGGATGGAGGGATGCTCCAAAGCAAAGAGGACACACCTGGGCTCTCCCAGGGGCTGCTTCCCTGTGGGATTGCTGGTCTCCCACCATGGCAAGGCACCCTCCAGCCATGCAGCGAGGGGAAAGGGGCTGTAAAGCTGGGCTTTAGTCCTGTTAAAAGCTACTGGGCCCTACCAAGCGCCGGAGGTGAGAGCTGGGGGTGTTACGGATGCGGCGCCCGCCCCTCCGATCCCTGTGTTGGAACTCACATTAAAGATCAGGGCCACATGTCCATCATCAAACCCGGGGACATCAGGGTGGATGTTCTGGGTATTTCCAAGATAAAACAACAGGGAGGGAGGTGGGGGGTGAGGAGGGTTGGAGGAAAAAAAAATAGGAAAAAAAAAAAAACAACAAACTTTCAAGTCATTTTTGGAAACGAAACAGAAGGAGAACAAAAGAAACCACCCAAAAACAAAGGCAGGAAGGAGGAATGTGTTTGATTTTCGGAAATGGCATCCCTTGCTTTGGTTTTGCTGTTTTACTCTGTGCCTGGTGGGAATTTGAACCTCTGAACATCCAAGCTGGACTGGTACCTATTCCTCTGCACCAGGTTATTTTAGGGACACGTTCCCATCTCTAAAATTACCCATTTCTACCCGTTTTCTGAGCAACATGGGGTGTGTTATGCTGTTATCTGTCCCTGCTGGGATGTCTTTCACCCCAGCCAGAGAGATTTCATGCAAAGGATGATGAAACTCTGGAAGCTCCAAGGGGACCACAGTGCAGGTGAAATATTTATTGAGGTCTTGCCTCTTCCCCTATTTCTTCCCAAAAATCCAAGCCTGGTAAGTACAAACAAGCCTGACAGGGGCATTGGTTTGTTCTTCCCTCCCTCCTGTGTTCACCTACCTTGCACTGTAAATATTTAAAGCTTTATCCCTTGTTTTCCTGTGGGGTAGAAGTTGGGATTGCTGAGAAAGGATGAGCTGGTCCAGGGGAAAATGATTTGAAGTAGGAGTGAAGTAGGTCTGCTTCTCCATTGGGAAGGTGGTTTACCCTGATTGCATAATCTGATTTCATAATTATTTTCCTTTTCTGTTTCTGTCTGTCCTAGAGCCAAATCCTCAGGAACAGCAGCTGGGACCAGTGCAAACCTCGGTGCCCCAGGGCATGGAAATGGTCCGTCCTTGCAGATGGATGCTACACTAAAATCACCTAATATTGCTTCCTGAGATAAAAATCACATTATTTTCTCTTTCTGTGTTGGTTCTTTCTTTAAATCCTGCTGCTGCTGCTGCTCTGAAATTTGGCCCTGGCCCAGCTCTTGCAAAGGCTGAGCTCTGCAGTGTTGATGCCTCTCCTGCTGATGCCCTCCTTCTTCCCTGTACACAGCCTGGGGCTCCCTGGCACCCAACCCAGCTCCACTACTTGTAAAAGTATTTCAAGAAATTTTTTGGGGGGTACAGCTTGATTTTGGAATGGGGTTTTGGATTGAGAAAGCCTTTCTTGTCAAAATTCTGACCCGGGCTGGTGCCCACTGGGCACGCCAGGATGTCTCCACCAGCAGAGACAGCAACACTGATGATCCTCATCTCCTGAAGGTGCTTCTGGGATGGAGAAGGTTTTGGGATAGCTGTCCCACCCTGCTGCCACCTTACCTGGTCCTTCTTTTGTGAGAAGCGCTGGTGGCAGCCGTAGATGGCGGCGATGAGCAGCAGGGAGCCAGCCAGGGTGATGATGGTGATGATCAGGGGGGTGCTGAACTCGTCGTTGATGGTCATGTCCTCCACCATTTTGTCCGAGGTGATGTTGACAATGCCAAGCTGCCACAGAAGGGACAGGTCAGGCTCCTGTGCCACCCACCACTGGGGGACATCCATGGGGCAGTTGTACCCACTCACCTCCTCCAGCTTGTCTTTCTTCTCCTTCAGATCCGTGAGGACTTCTTCAGAGTCCAAGGGAACTGGGGGAATAAAAAGGTTTCAGTGAGCACGAGGTGTGGAGGGGGGACAGGCTGTGCCACCATCCCCTGGTCAGAGCAGTGTCTCAGTTTCTGGAGGAGGTGGATGAAGATGTGTGGGGATGAAGCCAACCCTTGTAGGTGCTTCACAGCCAGACAAGGAGCCAGGATCTCTTCTGGCAAGGGGACAGCCCCAGAGCCCCCAGGCCCCACCATCCATCTCCAGTGAGTGATTTACAAGCAAGCCCTGTGAGGGGCTGTACCTGGCTCCTCAAGGATTAGTCCCCAGGGCCTGGGTGCCTTCCCTGAGGTTGGATGTGGAGTTTAGATCACCCACCCAACCCCTGCTCTGGTGATGAGTAAGAGCAGGATGGAGCTCAGGCCTTCCTCCATCTCCCAGGTACCCTGGTCCTAAAGCAACATTTGGGCACCCCCAGGCTGTGCTGGGTACCCCAACAGGGCTCTGACATGGGCAAGAAGCTCCTCTCTGTGATCTTTGGGGAAGGATTTGAGCTGGGCACCCAGTTTTAACCATCTGAGAGGAATTCTTCCTCCTGGAGACTGATCAATGCCTTGACTCAACATGGCAGGGGGATCTGGTGCATTCCTTAGGGCACAAAGCTCATTTCTGGGATGACTGTACCTCTCCCAAACCACTGGGATGGCACAGCCATGGGAACAGAGCCCTTTGGCCAAGCTCTAGTAGACTCGAGGGCTCTGCCAAGCCTCCAGCTCGGGGGTCCCCAGTGCCACCGTGTCCCAGGGCAGCAGGAGGTGGGATCATACTCACAGTGCAGGACCACCCGCACGGCCCAGTGGTGGGAGCTGGGCTTGCAGGCCATCAGCGTCACCGTGCACAAGTCCCTGCTGGCATCAAACACACGCTGGGCCGTGGAGCAGAAGCTCTCAAAGAAGGAGATGTTTTTGCTGGCAGTCCTCCACTCATCCTGCAGTGACAGTGAGGGTCAGCACTGCTCCCCCACCCAGGGACAGCCCAGGAACATCCCACCCCATCACCAGGGATGCAGGATGTCCCATCCTTATAGAATGACCTCTTTAAGACTGGATGTGCCCCTCCGGGCCATGGTTTGGGTGACAGGGTGGTGTTGGGTCATGGGTTGGACTCGGTGACCTCAGAGGTCTTTCCCAACCAAATGGACTCTGTGATCTTCCCTCATCCCCGTGCTGCCGCCGGCCCTCCCAGGGAACAGGAAAAGTTTAAAAGTAGTTTCTTTACAAGAAGCCGAGCTCTTGGCTGCCGTTCCTCACCGGGGCCCTGCACCAGCCTTATCTGTGAGCCGCAGCTTTTGGTGTTCCAGGAATAGCAGGTCCCAGAGGGAAGCAGGGAGGGGGGGCTGGGGAGGCCAGGGGGCCACAGCAGGAGCAGGGCAGGGCTGTGCAGCCCCACAGTTCCCCACAGGCTTCCCCAGCCTTTCTTCCCTCTGTCCCCACCAACACAGCCCCCTGTCCTGCCTAAAACTTCCCCACGGCTCTGCAGGGAAGAGCAAGAGAGTGTGTCTTGTTTTTGGATGGAATCACAGAATGAATCACGGAGGGTCCCAGAACATCATCCAGTTCCACTCCCTGCCATGGGCAGGGACAGCTTCCATAGACCAGATTGCTCCAAGCCCCATCCAACCTGGCCTTCAACATTCCAGGAACAGGAAACCACAGCCTCTCTGGGCAAACCAAAGCATCCCTGGAGAGATGGAGAGGGGTGGATGGAGCCCACGTTCCCTCTGCGGTGTTCCTGAGGATTTTTGTTCAATGTTTTGTAGCATCTGAGAGCTCACTAAGGTAGAGGGGATCACCCTCCTGCTTGCAGGTTATTCACTGGTACTTGGGGAACTATTCGTTAAAGATAAATGCCATTTGATAAATGACTTAACATACTTCAATCTATCTAAAGGTGTTAATTCAATCTCTGCACTCTGATTTCTCTCCAAAGAATTGAGAGAGACTCTTGACTTACAGACTCCAACATCTGCACGGACCCTGGCGTGTGGATGTGGCATGTGGGGATATGGGTTAGTGGTGGATTTGGCAGTGCTGGGTTAATGGCTGATGGTCTTAGTGGGCTTTTCCAACCTAAATCATTCCATGATTCTGTGCACAGACCTGGCCCTCACAGGTCCTATATGAGAGGTGCTGTATATACAGCTCCTACGTGCACAAGGTGATCCTGTGTGCAAAAGTCCTTAATCCCTGCTGAAATGAGGTACCCTGGCTGGGAAAGGCTCTGCTCCTGCCTCTCCATCACCCCAAACCTTCCCCTCCCATCCCAGCACCACCAGTGGCCTGCAGCATCCCGCAGGGATGGGAGCTGCCCGGCCCAGGGACGCACCCAATCTCACCCCATCTTATCTCAATATTTGGGAAGCAGCACTGGAGACAGGATGCACTTGCCGGGGCGGAAGGCTGGCCCCGGATACGGTGCGAGGGTGATCTCAGCATCGTGAAGCTCTGGCTGTCCCTGGGAACAGCCGCTGTCCCTTGCCTGTCCTTTCGCTTTGCACAGTGACAATTTCCCCGGGGCCCCGCGGTGGGGTTGTGCCATCCCTGGGAAAAGCTGGGTGGGAAATCTGCCCTAGCCCGAGGGCAGCATTCCCTGGAAAGCCGGTTCCCAGCAGGACAGGGAGGAGGGGGCTGGAGCTTGGTGGTGGTTTTATCAAGTCTGGACGCTGGGCTGTGCTCCTACGCTTGGAATGTCCTGTGATTTATCATTCCCTGTCTGTGCAGCACTTTCTGCTTGGCGGAGGAAGGGAAAGCCTCTGCTGCCTCCCTGCATCCTCCTTCCCTCGGTTTTGCCGCAGCTCTGCTTTCCCCAGCCGTCAATAACCTGTTTCTTTCCCTATCATCCCATGAGGGGAATAAAGACCCTTTTTTTTGTGTGGGGAAGGAAATGGGATGCGAGGCTAAAACCTCGCTGATCACTTCAGTGGCAGCTGGTGAGCAGTGCCTAAAGCCCTTCAGAGGGTGAACTGGAGGGACTGGCCCTTTCCAGGGATGGAGAGGGGCAGGGTGAGGCTGCAGGGATGCCCTGGCAGCTCCCCCTCCGCCGCCGGGGCCGCTCGCATTCCTTGGCCGGAGTTGACAGGCGCTGCCGAGCGGCTCGGATCCGGTTCCCACACTGGCGGGGACCTAAAACCAACATCCCCGAATGAGGTAACAGCACTTGAGTCAACAAACCACCCCGCCAGCTGCACGGGGTGAGGGGGCACCGTGACCCTGCTGGGTGAGGGAGTCCCTCTGCTGCTCCAGGGACTGTCCTGTGTCCCCAGACCAGTGGGGGTCACACAGCAATTCCAGTGGGTTGAGTGGTCCTGCTGTGGGTTTTGCATCCCTCACTACAGCAGGTTCTGGTGCTCCCCAGCATCCACTGACTCAGCTCCTTGGGCACATCTGTGTGGGGACACGATGGAGGAGGAACCCCTGAGAGAGGGACACGGGGTTGTGTGGCTGAACCACAGCTCAGGCTACACCAACCACCTCTGCCATCATCACTTCTTGCTTCACCTAACTCATTTTGGGGTTAGGATGAAGAGCAGAGCATCCATCTGTCCATCCATCATCCATCCATCCATCCATCCATCCATCCATCCATCCATCCATCCATCCATCCATCATCCATTCATCCATCCCTTCCAAGGCAGGAGAAACCCAACTGAAAATACATTTGTGAGCCAGACCTTGGAAGAAGCCATCCTATAGAATGTGAGGTATTGGGCTAATATGCCTTATTAAAAAACTCATTAAGATCCTGCAGTAATCAAAGGAATGAGAAGGAGAAGGTGGGGGAACATGGACCAAGCCATTCAAAGCATCACCTGAAAAGGAAGGATGCAGGAAACCAACCAGCCTGTGAAACACTTACAGTCCACAAAATGGTACCAGCTGTATATTTGGCTTTTAAAAAAGGATTTATAGTTTGACTTCCTTATTTTCTGGAGAATCTGAGGTGTGATGGGGTGCAGTTCCTGGACTCAGTCCCAGCTGTTTGCTGGAGTCTCCCCATTACTGGTGCTGCCCCACCAGCCCAGCTGGGAATGGGGTGGGCACCTGTGCAGTGTCCTCTCCCCTGCCCTGTGTGATCCAGACATCTCCCCCACCACATGACCCCCACACTGCCCTGGCTTCTTGCTGGATCTGAATTTTCAGTATAATGCCACCCTGACTCTGGTTTGTTCTCAGAGCAGGATTGGAGCTGTTTCTGGAACACTCCTCCTTATAGCACACACTTTCCTGTTTTCCCACGGGTTGTGAAAACGCAAAGGATTTTTTCACTTTGCTGTCAGGATTTGGCTACAGACGTGTTTACCAGGCCTACAAAGCAGGGAAACCAGATAGTGCCATTTCTCTGTTATCTGCTCAGCTTGGGAGGCACAGAATGGGCTGCAGTTTTCAGGAATACAAGGAGTGGGAAGTGAAGGGCGAGCGGGGGAGAGGCACTTTGGCAGCGAGGAGGGTGGTGGGATGGGAGGATGCAGCCCATGGGAGGATGCAGCCCTGCAGCCCTGCAGCCTTTCTGTGGCTGTTTTCGGGGTGTAATTGGCATTTTGTGCTAACAATGCTCTGGCTTGTTATTACACCCAGAGGAATCAAAGGGAAGCAGGGTAGGAGACTCCCTGGCTCGCCAGCTCCAATGCTCCACGGCCCTGGAGCAGGCCATGATGCCAAAATGTGGTGTCTGCTCATCCCTCACCATCCCTGCTTCCAAAAGTAAAACTCCACGGGAAGGACAGCAGCTCTGGAGCATCACTGTGCCCAGAAGGAGGGGGAAGCTTTAAACACCAGCATGGTCCTAAGTCCTTAAAGGCTCCAAAATTGGATTTTGTCAATCTGATTGAATATTTTTAGATGTTCAACACAAAATTTGATGAGAAGCTTTTCCAGCATGAACCTGCAGCCATGTCCAGACATTACATGGGGAAAGGCATGGTCTCAGGAGAAACCATCCTGCTGGGGCTTCATGGAAATAAGATCCCTCCTTGGAATCATCCTCAACATTCAGAGCAGCATCACTAAGGACATCACCACTACTGCAGGTGTGTGGGCAAGGAGCATTTGCACCCAGCAGCAGCCAGAGTAGGAAGGTGACAAGAGACAGCAGGCAGGTGCTTTCCCTCCTCCAGGAGCACAGTGGATGATGCTGGGAGGTCCAAACCCTTTCCAGGGCTGCCAGGCAGGGCCATCACCCAGGCACAGGGAATTTCAAGAGCTGCTGTGGTCAGTAGTTGCACTCACAATGTGTCTGAAGGGGTTTTGTGAACACAGTGTGGCTTCACTTGGAGAGTCCCTTCCAGCTTGGCTGATTCTGTGATTCACTTAGGGCAGGGGGTGACAGGACAAAGGGGAATAGTTTAAATTAAAAAAGAGAGATTTAGATTAGATATTAGGAAGAAATTCTTTACTTGTGAGGATGGTGAGACACTAGAACAAGTCCAGAGAAGCTGAGTTTGCCCCATCCCTGGAAGTGTCCAAGGCCAGGCTGGACAGGCTTGGAGCAATCTGGTCTAGTGGAAGGTGTCCCTGCCCATGGCACAGGCTGTGAGAAGGTCCCTGAAGTGCCAATTTTCCACTGCTTACACTGCCAGCAACCAGAGCATTATCAGGCCAAAACCCACCCCTGAGCCCTACCCACAGTCACTCTGTCAGGACCTCACCAGCCCTTTACTGGTGTCTCTTCCTCTCTATCACCAACTTAAAACTTCTTCCTATTTGGAACTTACCAGTATAGTGCATTTTCCCTATTGCAGGAAGCTCACAGTTTCCACCAGAACCATTCAGAAGGTGAATATCCCTCAATAACACCAGCAGACAGTGCCCATCCACCAGAAAAGATCTTGGTATGTGGTCCTGGGTTGGGCTTGCCTGCCCCCAGCCTTCCCACCATATTTTACTGCTCCCTGTTTTGTAGTGGGTCTGAAACAAGTGAAATGGAGTTTTTTCCTCTCACTTTAGGGTTCTATGAGAGCATTGAGGAGCACAGTGAGTCCCAAAATTCAGGCTCCTCTGCTTCCCAGTTGCTCTGCAGTTGGATGCCACCCTACCCCAGTGTGAAGTGCAAGATCTCACAAGTGCACAATAATAACTGTGGAGGAACACCTCGTTCTTTTCTTGGATTTTGGGGCAAAATTCCTTCAATTTAGGCAAAAATCTTTCCTGCTAGCATAGGGAAATATTTACCCTTTAAAATTTTCCATTTGTCTTTCTGTAAGATCTGGGTGGGCTCAGCTGGTCCTTCTACTTGGAAAAGACAACACTGGCCTCTTCTCCTGCCACATGCCCCGCTGGTGACACTGCTGAACACGGGTTTGCATTCACCATTTCACATTGGCTGCATCTTTGATGAAATTCCCTCATTTCTGAGGGTTTTCTCACATGCTCAGAGCACCACAGGTTAAAATCTGAACCTCCAACAGCTGCTAATTGTCCATGGAAGTCAAAAAGGTGGTACTTACACAGGTTCTGGGTTCTTTCAGGTGAATGATGGGCGTAGTATGCTGCACCTGGTCTTTACAGATGAGCTGGAAAGGCAGAAGAAAAGCAACTCTCAGTGGTAGACAAAGGTTGGAAGGACAGTTGGTCACCAACCCAACAGCCCATTATGTGTTTCCTGGGAAAAGACCCTGACCCCCTCCTGGCTACACCATCCTGAGGAGTTGTAGGGAGCCAGAAGGTCCCCCCCAAGCGTCCTTTTCTCCAGGCTGAGCCCCCCCAGCTCCCTCAGACACTCCTGGTGCTCCAGACCCCTCCCCTGGACATGCTCCCCTTCACCTCCATCCTCATTGTCTCTTCTCTGGAAAGCTCCAGGAGAAAGGAATGGGAGTGAATGACCTCTAAACAATTCCGTGATTCTACAACCTGGAGTTACTTTGCTGGCAGATCTCTCTCTCTGACAGAGAAACAGTGAGAAGAGCCACAGACTCCACGTGGGATGGCAGCTAAATTAACACCCCTGAGAGGTGCCCACCTTCCCATTTGGGCCATTACCTCATTTGAGAGAGAAATGTTGGGCTGCTGCTGGCCAGAACTGCAGCTCTCTGTGTGGTCTGTCTGGTCCCCTGAGGCTGGACCCAGTGGCTGGACACTGTCAGGGCTCTGGGAGGCACTGGTGGATTTGGCTGATCCAGCGTCGTGGGTACTCTGGTCTGGCTCCCCAATATGCACCAAAAAACAAGCAGACAGACACTGACACAGTATAGAGGATACAGCTGGCATAGCTCTGTCAGGGGTCACCTCAAAATCAGTTTTCATCTCTCGCCCTGCCTTGAAGCTCATTGCGTCAAAGGCTGGAGAGGCTTTAGATTGCTTCTTCAATTTTATGTATTTTTAAATTAACTTTGATGTGGAAAGAATCTGATTACTGATTTTATTTTCTGCTGCTGAAACTCATCAGAGTGTTCTGGAGAGAGGAACCAAAGGCCATTGGATGGCTCTGTGTGGGTAGCTGGGTAATCAGAAGTACGGGGTGACCCTCCTTTCACTTTATTTGGGGTGTTTTCCATGGAGATTTCCTCAACAGACACAGACCTGGCTGCTCAGGATCTGCCACCCACCTTTGCTGGGAGGGGATGTAATGTCATAACCTCTGCTGACTGCACCTCTATGGAAAATTTCCAGCGTGACAATATTAGAAGTAGTGCCTGCTTCTACAGGAGACAGCCTGGGGTGTCCTCCCTGGTATTCCAGAAGGGCACAGGTCCCAGATCTAGCAGCCCCATTCAGGTGTCTCCTGAGGTCACCTCCAAGGACTTGGTTAAGTTCTGTAGCACGTTAGAATTGTTTGTGGGAGTAGGGCAAGGAGCACAGCAGCCTCCTGCCTCCCCAGATCCCTTTGAAGACATGGATCTTCATCCCTGGCTTCCTAATTGATACTTAAGTGGTGACAAAGAGAATTAAAATGCCACAGGATGTTCACAGCCTGTTTGCTCTCGGGACTCCTGCCTCTTCCAGAGAAAAGATGAGAGATATTTCTCTCCCAGACACATTCTGAAGGCTCCAGGAGAGAATTAATTCCAAAGCCATCTGTTTCTCATGCATTCTGCCAACTATTTATTAAATATAAAGGGTTTTTAGACCTCTTCAGGCTTAATGCTTGAGGCCCAAATTGAATTAACATAATTTTATATATCACCCTTCCATGGAGAACAGTCCTGTGGAGCAGGAGGGGAAAGAAAGGAAAAAGAAACATCCATCATGAAAATATCCATTTCACCTCATTCCTGCCCACACATGAAAACATGACTTGGGGGAAGCCAGTGAAGATGGCTTTGCAATAAAACCTTGGCCCATTTAGTGATGCCAACAGCTGGGAGGCTGAGGGGGATGGAGATGGTTTTTGAGTGGCTTCTGTATTCCAGGTAATGGGAAATCAGGTCAAGAAGAGCATTTTCCAGGGGAAGATAATTGAGGGCTCCAGTGTGATCACAGCTTTTATTCAGAGCCAAATGTGAGCTGAACTCACAATCCCAGCCAAGTCTGGAAGGCTCCATGGAGCCCTCACAGTCCCACAGGGTGATGATTTCCCTGTAAATGCTACCAGACAAAATGCCAGTCTGGGAGGTTGAACTGTGCCTCACCAGGACACCTAGGAGCGAACTGTGAAACTCCAGAGGTCAGAGAAAACACCTTAATGGTGTTCAGCCAGGTCCTAAACAGCACCTGGACACTCCTAATGCAGCTTAGACAGCAGCCAGCAGCCAAAGCCCTCCCGCAGCACTGATGAACGTCCTACCAAAGTCAGACTCCTCAGGGGTTCTAAACTCAGAGTTTAGCCACAAAATCTCCTTAGTCATCTAAAGCTCCTTTTGTGTGCATGCCCAGACAGCCTTCCCTAAGCTGTCAGCTGCACCAGGGATCTTCCAGGGGCAGCATTCTGGGAGCTGTCCCTGCTTCCCCAGCTCTCCCCAGTGTCAGTCCCCAGCCCATCACTGCTGTCCTGTTTTCCGTCACTGGAGATCGAGACATGCAGTTGATGGTGCTCCAGGCACCTCTTGGTCCATCCAAAAGCCAATGCCTGCACTTTGCCAGCTGATTAATTCCTTGGATTTCACTGACTGCATTGTCTCAACCTCCACCGAGGACAACAGGGACCTAAACACACGCTTGTCACACAGACAACTGAGCTGGGAAGTCCTAAAATGAGACAAGGTGGTGACAGCCCATAATGGCAGGAGGTGTTTAGGGTAGCCAGAGAAAGAGAAAAAAGGCCTCCTCAGCACAAGAAACCAAGATTCCTGCCTTCTGTTACCTGCCCCAGGAGCTGTGGTGGTGGATGCCTTTGGGACCGTGTCTTTGCTGCCAGGTTGTGACATTGGAGTGGTGGTGACAGATGGGGATCCAGACAGAGGGATAACAGAAGTGCTGGTGCTTCCAGAAGTGCTGGAAGGGGTTGGTCCCTGGACTGAAGAACTGGTAGAAGGACTCTGCTTGGTGGGACATTGGGGAAGAGGGCCAACACACTCCTTGGAGCTTTGGGGAGGGTCAGTTCTCAGCTCTGTGGTGCTCACAGTGGTGTTAGGCACATGATCCAAAGACTGTGAGCCAGGAGAGGATGTGCCAACAGCCCCTACAGCTCCTGGAGGACTGGTTGTACTAGTGACAATGGGTTGTGCAGCAGCTGTGGACCCCAAACTTCCCGAAATGGCTGCTGTGCTGCTGGGCTGCTGGGCAGTAGTGGAGCTTGCAGCAGGGGTGGTTTTGGGGGCAGCAGGGCCCTGTGAGGAGCTGTCCTGCACAGATGTGGGGGCTGAGGTGGAGACAGGCGAGGTGCCCAGAGTTGTGAGGGGGTTCCCTGTCGCTGAGTTGGCAGTGGAGGACGGTGACATTCCCGGCTTGTCTGTGGTGGTGGTGCTTTCAGTTGTGGTGGTGCTGCTTTCAGTTGTGGTGGTGCTTTGAGTTGTGGTGGTGGTGGTGGTGCTTTCAGTTGTGGCGGTGGTTGCTGCCACAGTGGGCTGAGCAGCTCCTGCCTCGGTGGTGGTGGTGGTTTGGGCTGTGGTAGGTGATGATGCAGAGGTGGTTGGTGAGGTTTCTGCAGTGCTTGCAGGCGTGGTTGTCGTGGTGCTTTCTGTGTTCTTGGGAGATTCTGTGGTGGTGGTGACAGAGTTTTGTCCTGAGTCTGCAGAATCCCCATCATCCTGAGAGCTGGCATCTGGGGAAAAATAAAAATGCCAAGGTAAATGCTGAACTAAGGAAACTGCCCTTGGTTTTCCTTCAGAAAAGGTATTTGTAGGTGTAAACACTGACATAAACCACGAGCCATTCACTCAGGGCTTGCCTTGTGCTCTCCAAAGTCATATCAAATTCCATGTTCTGGTATCCCTGTGTCCAGCAGTGACACCAGGTGGGAGGTCCACCAGCTTCCATGCAAAGCCCTGCCAGTGGTTCCCAAAATAAAGCAGATCCACCCCTTGTAAGAGGACAGCCAAGGGATGCACTGACTGCAAGCATCCATCCCTGCTATGAGAGTCTCCTGCATCCCTGAAGGGACAAGGTGACACAGAATCACACAATCATTAAGGCTGGAAAAGACCTCCAAGATCATTAAGCCCAAACAATTACCTCACATTATGACATGCAAAGAGATCTGTGTTTGGTTTCTGAAGAATACCTTAAACTTTCAAGTGATGAAGCTGTTCCTCAGTGGGGGATGCAGCTGAAGAACAACTCACCTGACAAGAGAGAACTCTCCCACAGCAGAGAGCTCTGCAATGTGCTGCCATGCCAAAATGGGGCATTCTCACTGCTAAACCAGTATAAAAACATGGATCTATTCTTCTGTTTGTAATCACTGCAGGAGCTCCTTCAATGGCCACGGAATATTTCCCCATGTGGTGACCACAAATTCTTGCTTAAATTCACCCCTGGAAAAGTTTGACCAATTTTTCACCTTTCAGGACACATGGGCTGAGCCCCTTAATCCATGGATCCCTCTGGACTCAAGGCAACAACCTGATTTGGGAAGAAGGTTCCTCCATTTGGGGACTGTGCAGAAGAACTGCTATAATTTTTTTCCCCTTGAAGCACTCATGTATTATTTCCAACCCCCTAAAACAGGAGCCACACTTCCAAGGATTGATTTTTATCCTAATGATGCTCTCCAGAGATCTGCTTTGTTCCTTGGTGCTGGCACACAGACAAAATATTTTCTCTTATAGAGCCTGTCTATTGACACTGACTGTGCATCAAAGATCTGATGAAGATCAAGGTTCTGGTGGGAAAATTCAACTCCACCATGTCAGGATCTGGCTTGAGAAGGACCTGGGGAATGGGATTGGGGATGGGGAGGCTGCAACAAGTTTGAGTTCCTGTGGGAACTGCCTGGGGACAGAGTGGGTTTGGAGGGTGCAGAGGAGCCACAGCTGGACCTTGCATAGGCAGGGAATGGGATGGGATGGGATGGGATGGGATGGGAAGGAATATAGAATATTTCAGTTGGAATGGACCTACACTGATCAGCTTATACAACTGCCTGACTATTTCAGGGGAATCATAGTACCACAGACTGATTTGGGATGGAAGTGACTTCAAAGATCATCTCATTCCAACCCCCTGCCATGGCAGAGACACCTTCCACTATCCCAGGGTGCTCCAAACCTTGTCCAACCTGGCCTTGGACACTTCCAGGGATCCAGGGGCAGCCACAGCTGCTCTGGGCACCCTGTGCCAGGGCCTCACCACCCTTTCAGACAAGAATTTCTTCCCAATATCTCATCTAACCCTGCTCTCTGTCACTTTAAAGCCATCACCCCTGGTCGTGTCACTCCATGCCTTTGTAAAAGTTCAGATCTCCTCCCAAAACACGGTTTCCCCACCAGGAGCAGCCACTCCTGGAAACGCAATCAAGATGTGAGTGTAACTGAAAGTAGCAGCATGAATTATTTTAGGAAACACTTGGCTTGTGAGGAAACATTTCCATTACATGTGAAGGAAAAGGGCTTTTGTGATGATAAGTTGTGTTTCCTACAGGCTGACCACTGTCTGCAGGAGAAGAGGCAGAGAAGTAAAACATCATCACAGGGTCCTGACAGATAAACCCCAGGTGCTGAAGATAGGAGGGAGTTTTGATCTACCATCTCCTTAGCTGTGTTATCAATTTGTGGGGCTGGAATTGTCAGTGATGGTTGCACCAAGCTGGAGAGAGACCAGGCATTCAGAGAGCCACAAAACAGATTTGTCCCATAAATAGGGTGTGAAAGTTTCACAGGGGATCTGACAACAAAAGCGGTAGAAAAAAAAATCCCCTAAAGGTAGAAACAGTACAAAAGAGATGTAAGGAAATAAAGGGTTGGAAAGAAGGAAGGAAGGAAAGAGGAAATCCCCCTCTGCTCTTGTTTCCTCTTCATGCCCCGGCCTCATCCCAGAGGGGCAGAAATTAAAGACTCCAAAGAGAGGTCAAAAAGACAATTCAATTCAGTCTAAGAGAAAGGGACAGGACCATGCTTTGGCTCTAGGCCAGTCCTGGTGGCCAGCTGGGACCACCCTGTGATCCAAGGAACCAAGATCCTTGTTCTAGCACTTCCCTGTCTCACCCTAGGGAGATACAGACAGGATTTTACCATTTTTAGCAAAAAACTGAGGGCAAAAGCTCAAAGCAAGGGGTTGTTCTGTTGATGGAGAGATCTGGTAAGATCCTCTAGGCTTGTCCTGGCTGGGGTGCTAGCAGGGTCTTTCTTGGGGCACACAGAGTGACACAGCCCCCCATAAAATGACTGGGAGAAGAACCAAGGCTCAAGGTGGTACCCAAAAATCTCATTAATGTTTTATCTTTCTGTATCTCTGCATCCACTCCTAGTATTCCTCTTCACTAAGGTCAAGAGATGTTAAAAAATCCATTTATTCTTCCTCATTAAGCCAGGACCAGTAATTTAAGTGGGATCAAGCATCATGGGCTGGACCTACAGCACAGCAGTGGAGAGGAGCTGTGGCTACAGCTGGGTGAGATCCTCTCCTACAGGGGAGCAACAACATCCATCTCCACACCCCTCCTGCAGGTTTTTGGGCACCTTTCTGTCAGCAAAATTTACCTTTTTTATCCTGATGCATTAAATTGAAAAAAAACAAACAACCAAACTGTTTTCTCACAGCTGCTGCACAAGGTGCTGCTGCAGTCACGGGGTTCAATATCTTCCTGCAGTTTTATTGCTCTGAGCTTAATGTTGTTTGTCCAGGGACAAAATTTAGAAAAACTGCATTTTTTTTTTTTTGTATCTTGCAGGATCACCACCCACAGAAGACCTGGCTTAGGCAAACCCATTTTACACTTAATTCCAAAGCAGAAACAGCTACAGAACAAGCACTGCAGTCCCAGGAGTCACTGTTTTCCTTCCACATGTACTGTACCTCTTTCAAATGCCAGAAAATGTTTGTTTTGTTTTTTTTTTTAAATCTCTTCCTCCCTCACTGGCCACCTGTGCCAAATTTCAGTGGTGGACTCAGGGGTAATAACTGGTAACGAGCCCCTGTTTGCCTGGGCTGGTGGCCAGTATTGCCTGACAAGTGTCCCCAGCAGAAGAAACGAGAAGGATCTGGTGGAAGGAGGAGAAAAACTGGTAAGAACAACCAGACAGGACAGGATTATGTCTGGGGCCCCTTCAGCATGAAAATCACTCACAAAAGATACAGTAAGTCCTTTTGCAGGGAACAAGTGATCCCTTCACGCCGTGAGCCCCGGAGATAAAAGGATTTAAGACATCTATGAGAGAGGAGGAGGAGGATGGAGGAGAGATCCTCCAAGTTATCACTCCCCTTACACGGAGGACACCCTTCCCAAAAGAAATCCCACTTGAATTTCAGCCAGAGTCCCTCACCCTGCTGTCCAGAAGGCAGAAAAAAATCACCTGCCTCTGACCTTCCTGGCTGCATTTTGGCACGCCGAGGCCGCTTTTTTGATTTCACTTTTCTGGACCGTCACCAATTGCGCATTTTAGGGGAGATGAGAGCAATTTAGCAGCTACTTGGGGGTGTTTTGACAGCAGTGAGTCTAAGGGTTGATCTGCACTTCTCTCCTTGCATTTATCCCTCAGAAAAGCCAAACCCTGGTGCTGGGTGTGGGGTAGGTCTGCGGGAGGAAGGTGCGAGCTCTCCAAACAGGAGGAAATGAGTGCGCTGCAAAAACATGATTTCATGTCCGGATACGTGTATCCCATGACCCTGCCTGCGATACTGTGTGTCTGGGATGGGCACAGCCAGGAGGGGACACAACTTTCCCTCATTGCTAATTACCCAGACGGGCTCGTTCAGCACATTTGGGAGGCTGGGAGTGCCCCGTGGGCGCTCGTGGATGGGGATGGATGGTGTGGGAGGTCTCTGGTCAGGTGCTGGTGGGGTGTGAAGAGTCACCCAAAATGTAAAAGGAAAGGTGAGCTGCTCTGTGCCAGCACAGCTCCTCGCAATAGCACTCACAGACACCACTTGGAGCTGCTGTGCACCACCTCTAACCACAGACTCAGAATGGTTTGGGTTGATCAGAACCTTAAAGACCCTCTAGTCCAACCCTCTGCCATGGGCAGGGACACCTTCCACTATCCCAGGATGTTCCAAGCCTTGGACTTGAACACTTCCAGGGATGGAGCAGACACAGCTTCTCTGAGGGCCTCATCATCCTCACAGGAAGAAATTTCCTATGAATATCTAATCTAATTTTCAATTAATATCTAATCTAAGTGTCTCTCTTCCAGTTTAGCCATGCCATGGAGTGATGCTCTGGTTGTAAACTCAGTGCAGTGAGTACGTGGAGTTTTGCAGGCTGAGGAAGGCACTCAGGGGAGAAGCTTTTTGGAAAGGTCAAGGCTTGGAGAGCAAAAAGAGAATCAAACAGGCTCAAAATGCAAAGTGAAAGGACACGTCCTGTCCATCCTCCCAGTGCCCACCCAAAGCCAGGGATT